GTATGTATGTATGTATGTATGTATTTATTTATTTATTTATTTATTTATTTATTTATTTATATAATTAGAGCCACCCATCTTACAGAAGTGATTCTGGGCAGCATACCAAAATTAAAGCCACCAAAACAATATATAACAGTATATAACATAACTAGAACAACACCCACCCACCCCCCGCAAACAAAAAGCCACATCACCAGCAGAACTCACCTAACCGCCTGGCCCAAATGCCCGGGGGAACAGCCTGTTCTCCAGAATTTTAGGAAAGCCTAACAGGGTCAGCGCTGTTCGGATCACTGGTGGAATGCTGTTCCACAGGATAGGTGCAGCCACTGAGAGGGCACGATTTGAACAAGATTGCATTGTTTGATGGAACGGACCCAGAGCATGCCCTCCTTGTTAGATCTGATGGGGTGGGCAGAAACAATTATGCCATTATGCTATGCATGTCTGCAGAAATATATCCCAGTGAGTTCAGTTAGACCAGTTCGCAGTAAATAGGCATTGGATTATCAAAGATAAATAAGAAAACATTGTATTTTTTCAAGCCAGGATTATATCAAAAATTAAGAAACAGAATATAATGTTCCAATAATAAATTGGTTTTATTTATATCATGGTTGTTCAAATGGAATTCTTTATTTTCTTTTTCCCATTTAGGTCTCCTTTTAGAAGATAATCCTTCTATCCGTGCCATATCATTAGGACATGGTCATATTTTAGTTGGCACAAAAAATGGTGAAATATTGGAAGTTGATAAAAGTGGGCCAATAACCTTACTAGTTCAGGTAAATATTAACAAACAGATTCTCCTTTTTAATAGTATAAGTTTTGAAATGTTAAAATAGTGAAGTAAAATTGTAGTGAATTAGAATTAACTTGATAACTGTGTGGTTGTATATAAAGATACCTCATGGAACTCACTTTTTGTTCTTACTGTTTGCTTCTCCCTTCAGTATTAAACTAACTACTGTTTTTAAATAAATATAAGCAAATAAAAAATTGTACGTTGCCCTTCAAAACCTGATGATAACTTACAACCAACTATTGCTATGTTGTTGTTATGCTTTGTTGAGTTGTAGCCAACTCCTTGGTGACTCTACAGATAAAAGTTATCCAAGCCATCTATCTCTCACCACATTATGCAATCTTGCAAGTGCATTTCTGTGGCTTCCGGTACTCTTGTCTATGTACTTGTTGGTGTCTTCTTCTCTTCCTTATCGTGGGTATATCAGTCCCATGGTGTGTCTACAATATGATAATTTGTTTCATGATCCTTGCTTCTAATGAGTATTCTGACTTATTTTGCTCTAGTATGGAATGGTTGGTTCTCTTAGCTGTACAAGGAATACAAAGCAGTCTTTTCCAGGACTATGGCTCAGAGGAGTCAATCTTCTTTCTCTCACTCTTGCGCAGAATTGATCTCTTGCATTTGTACGTCATAACAGGAATATCACTGAGTTGACACCATTCTAAGTTTTGTTTTGACTGAAATGTCTTAGTCTTTTATGAGTTTGTCGAGATCCCTTCAATGCCTTTATACCCATTGTCATTCTTTCTTGAATCATTTTTGCACATTTACCATCTTTATCAATTCTGGAGTCTAGAAGATTGAAACCGTCAACTATTTCTATCATCTCATTATTTATCTTAAATTCTTCTAGTTTTTATGTTGACATAATCTTAATTGTTTTGATGTTCAAAGAAAGCCTGGCAGTTTGAATGCCCTGTTTTACTTTTAGAACGATTGCTCCTAGGTCTTCTTCAGTTTCTGCAACCAAGGTAGTGTTGTCCGCATATTTCTGGTTATTGAGATTCCTTCCACCAATTTTGACTCTAACCTTTAGTTCTGCCAGATCTGTGGCCCATAAGATAAATTCAATGTGTAGGTTGAACAGGTATAGTAATAGAATGCTACTCCTTTTTACTCCTTTTGTGATGGTAAACAATTCAGTGTTCACCAATTCTGTTCAGACATTCAGGCAAAGTCTTTGAAGATGAGCACAGGGTACAGGTAGAAACACATATAAAAACAAATTCCTTCAGAAATAAGTTGGTATAGTTTAATACCAGCATATTAAACTGTAACTTGGGACCAGCAATAAACTACGACCCATTCTAGATCATACAAGGCAGTACAGTACAGTAATATATTTATAACACTGAATTTCTGTGAATGCTACACTCCCGTTGCAGTATTTAACTGAAAGAGTTTTAGACTTTCAATGGCAACCTTGTGTATCATCACTGTGATCTAAACAAATAGTACCCAAGGAATACATTACAATAGAAGGGCTATCTCCATTCAAGTAGAGATGTAACTAGTTTGCCAACCTAGGTTGGTAAAGCATCTTTTGTGTCATGTAGAACATTTGGGTCTTTCATGATAATGCTGGATCTAGCACATCTCCAAGCACAAACTTAATGTTTTGGGGAGAAGGTAATCCAACTAGAACAGGCTGAACATCATTCAGTTGGACAGATAAAGCAGCCACTAATAACACTTCTAGGTATATTAAGCTTTGGCTTTATGGCCCTCATCCAGTCTGTTACCATGGCCAGGCACTGACTCAGGATTTCCACTGCTGAATATATAACCGTGATATATATGTCTATAGGAGATAAAGCTGTAGTGCTGCATATCATCAGCACTGCTGGCACTTAAGTGTCTTAATGATCTCATATAATAGCTTCATGTAGATGCTAATCAGCATGAGAAATAAAATGGAGCTTTACAGACTCCACAGAGTAAATGTCATGAAGTT